CAGAAAAACCGCTGTAAAACCCTCAAAAACCATCGTAAAACCAATAAATCATAGTGCATTCGAGAGCAGATATATTGGACTATACAACTATGCATAAATATCCAAATCGATTTTGTTGTCGAAAAATGCTTTTTTTGAGGGGTGGGGGGCCCTTAAGGAAGCGATTTTATTTCACTCAGTCCAGTAATCAGTATAACACTTTTTAATCCAAATTTATAGAATTTTATTCGCAATAAGATCGGCGATCACTACGCTTTGATCGTCAAATTTTACATTTTCGGAAACAATGAACAGTTGGAAAAAAATTTTGATATAAACGACTCGTATAGAACTATAGTACGGATCAATTTTGCCTACGAGCAACTATAGTTTTTATAGCTTTTTCTTCCAGACAATACACAACAGCAGCACAAATGATTTATATATATATATATGATCTTCGATATGAACACTAATATCACACAAACTAACTGTAAGGAATTTGTGTATGATAGAGAAAAACCAACTTTTTAAAGCATTTTTTGAAAAAAATAGCTTACGTTTTTTCTATATAAGGAATTCCATAGAATAAATATTCCATAGTACTATTTTCAATTTTTTCCCACAAAAAGTCTACATATTTTTTTTATCCCAATTCATCTGTCATGCACATATGTTCACACATATTAAATTCATTATCAATTTTTACCCTCATTAGAGTAGAAGATGAAAAAGAAAAAATAATTTTTTCCTTCTTTTTACTGACACAACCGCATAACGTAGTAAAAGATAGAAGATGTAACATTATACAACGAAAATGAAACCTCCCACAAGGAAGGTAACCATTTGCTACCGATAACATGTCACGCATAAATACAAACTACAAAACAACTGTACCTAATGAAAAGAAAGCCATGCGCCTGTCAAGAACATATTGTGAATAAAATAAATACCAGATGCGTGATATCATCATTGTACAGATATTCTCAAAATTAACCACATGTTCATTAGTATCAAAAGAGCCAAGATCAACATATTGATCGTAGCATATAAATTCCATATGCCATACTTTACACATTGAATCAAATGTGAAAAAAATTATCAATTCGATCAGTGTCAAAGAAACTTGCACAATGTATATAACATGAGGAAAAGAAAAATATTTGTTTAAATATAGATACATTATTGTTAGTAGAATTATAAAAATGTTAATAAACTAAATAATTTAACTTACTTGTTTGTCTGATCATTATATTCACCATTTATTTCATTTGATAAACTTTCATTATCATCATCTTGTTGATAATCAATTTCATTTCCACCTTCATCATCATTTTCTTCAACTTTAATATTAATATTTGTTAAATCACTTTCACCACTATTTTCACTATCTTTCGATTGTGTTTCAATTGTATCCATACTAATTGGTGATGTTCGATTTTTCGTTATTGTTATCGATTTTTTAGCTGTTCGTTTTTCGGCACATACTGGACATAGTACAAGAAATCTATCGACAATCGATCGTGTTATATTATCGTAAGTTTTCGTTAGAATTTTTAACATAACATCACGTCGACAATGTGATTGACCAAAATGAACATCATACAATAGATCAAATACATGTTCACGTGCAATAATAGCACGACCTGTTGAACGACGACATAAAACTTTTTTTAACGATTTATTCGATGTTTCACTAAAACAAAATTCACGTTTAGCCCATTTTGTAAAATTTGTATTTGCATCTGCATTTCCCGTTGTTGAATTATCATTGATATCACATGTTGACGAATGATTTAATGCACGAATGATTGAATCAGCTACAAAAGACAGAGGAATTACGATAAATTATTTCTGATAAAATAATAAAATTATAAATTATGATTAGAATTCTCAGAAAGAATGTATTCTATGATTATGATTATCCTGATTGAAATTGTTCAAGTTTCATACGATAATTGTAAAATATGCAAAAAAAATAGGTAAAATAAAGCTTCACTATTCTATAATAAGATGTAATTTGTTTATTGTACAAAAAGAATGATTAAATTATAAGACTTGAGATAAATTAAAACTGTGACTTCTTTCTACTTTGAATTGTGTTGATGACTGTTTTCTTACCTTTATCAAAATCGGGCAAAAACGCTTTTGAAGAATTCAATGAGTTATAAAATATTGGTCGTAAATGTTCTTTAGCATGCTGCATTTCTTTCAATTTTCAGCAACTAGCAGAATTGGTGTATATGTGTGTGTACATGTAACGCACAGCTGTATGATGATCTTGTAAATTTTTTTCTCGTCAACAGTAGCCGATAGTATGGAAGAAGAAAAAAAAGAAGAAGAAAGGAAAGAGTTCTATGAATGACTTTTATATATCTTTATGTATCTCTATATATTTTTACACCCTTCCCATAGATTGTAGATAGTATATATTGTAAGTCTGTTCAACGTAATGTGTGACGGCAGAAGAAAAAGAAATCATTTTTTTTTTCTTCTTTTCTGCTTCTTTTCCGATAAAAAAAACAAAAAAAAACTAGTGAACTATACTGCGCATGTGCATAACTTTCACATCATTCGCTGTTCAAACACTATACCTATAATATATGTAGAAAAATAGAAGAGAAAAAAACGAAAAGGATGCCATCTGCTTTCTTCACTATTAGTTTATTTCTCGATACTTTCTGAATGTCAGATGCGTTGAACGTATGCCGGAAATAATTTCCTTAAGTGATTAAACGTTGCATTGTCTATATTGACATAGTCGACATAAAGTTTTTTTACAACTTTCTACTTCTTTACCCCTTATTTGTGATCAACATTCTATTACTATAAGTGTCACGTTGATTTATGAAACAAATGGACTGATGCCTTACTGGAATAGTTGAATCATGTTACTATTTCCAGACTTTTTCATTTGTGAAATGATCCAGATATAATTGTACATTGCATTCTTTTTTGTGTTTTCATATAGTCTCAAAAAAACAACAACAACAGAAAAACAAGATGGTGAACGAGAAAAACAATGAAAAAAATGGAACAATAAAGAAAAACTGTTTCGTTTTTCTGGCTCGTTAATACATGTTCAAGCTTCTATGACTTATTCAAATTATTATTTATATATATATGAAGAAGTGTTTAAAAAAAGAAAGAAGACAAAAGAGACAAACAATAGAGAAAGAGAAAGAAAACAAACAAACAACAACGCTCTCGATCTCTTACTCTAAAATATAGATATAGACGTGCACAGAAGTTTGACAAATGAATTGAATAGCAGAATATAATATGGCACATGCACATACATAAAAGTTCACAATTCAAAAACAAGAAATAACAGAAAGAAAACAACGACGATATAATAATGTGTAGATGAATTTAAGAACGCAACACATCTTTCCACTTTGAAATGAACACACACACACATATATATATATTTTAGTTATTTTTTGTTTTCTTTTGTAGTAAAATAGAGAGGAGATACAAAGTTCCATCTTAAATAAACAATCATAATAGCAATAATATTTTTAGAATAAAATAGATATAACAAGATTTTAATGATAGTTAAAAGGATTTGAGCGGTTGTGGTTTATTTGTTTTGAATGATACTTGTAAAACACGATTGCCTAATGTAAAACCATTTAATGAATTAATTGCCATTAATGCTTCATCATAATTTGTCATTGTTACAAAACCAAAACCTAAAAATAAACAATTTTATCAAGTTTACTTAGAAAAATTAATGTAACGAATTGAAAAATAATTTCTTACCTTTACATTTTTGTGTTTGAAAATCTCTAATAACTTTTACATTTTGTACAGCTCCAAATGGTCCAAATAATTGCCATAATACAGATTCTTCTGTTTCTGGTGCAAGATTATAGACAAATATACACCAACCTATAAAAATAGAATAAAACAAGATTATAAATGATATCTGAAAATAGATGTTTTTGTCAATAACTCACCTGTTGATGGAGGCAACGTCGTCGCTGAAGGAACAGTAGTGGTTGCTGTTGGAAGATAACTGGCTGTTGCAGCAAAAAAATCGGCTGGTGATAATGGCGAATATCTATAGATAGAGTACTGTGAAAAAAAAATGTTTTTTTGATCAGAAATAAAATATGAATCATACACATTCTACTTATAGCAGTGACAACAAAGTTTTAGAAGCACATCAACGATAGAAATAAATGAGTTGAAGTAGATTAAGTTAAAGAGAATGTATGACATATTTTTTAAGAACACCCATAGTTCAAGAACAATACTTTCTAGACACAATCACACAATAAAAAACAAGAGCAAGAATAAACTCACCGATATTTTGATCGTTCATGTGTCTCTCTGTTATTTATCAAAATCGGAAATAAAAAAAGAACAAACGAATGCAATAGCAAAGAGCATAAATAAAATAATGCAAAAAGAAAACCTATACTCTATCGATAGTCGTGCGGGAACTCGCCTAGACGAACACTGAGAGTTATCGTATGAATATTTCAAACGTAAAATATATACGATTTTTAATTGTATAAGCAAAAAAATGAAAAAAAAATATATGTGCAAAATTTTTTAGCAACGTACCTGTACCTATTTAATGGTTGTCGAATTGGTAGTCCAGTTGTTAAAACAGTTTGTTGTGTTGGCGCACCACCTATGCCAGAAATATATGGCGCTAATGGTAGACCAACCATGGATTTAGCAGCATTTGGTATATTAGCAAATTTAACATTAATTGGATCCGTAAAACCTGAAATGTATAAAAAAAAAATATATTTAATTTCAAATAAAAAGATTAGCAAGATAATACCTTTCGGTATTGTTCCATTTAATTTATTAATTGCACTTTCTGCTTCACAACGTTGATCAAAACGAATAAAACCAACACCTTTGGAAGTACCTGAAAATAGTAAAAGAAAACAGCTCTCAAATAAAACAAGGCATACAATGACATTGTCATATTGCGTGTAATGTGTTGGATCTTTGATTACAGCCAGCACAGAGGACACACAGACATGTCATTTGTATACGTTTTCTGCTATTTCGTAGTTTAAAATTCTTCTTATTGAAGAGAAAAACTCGAATTATTATTATTATTATCATATTGGCATAATAAACACATACGTGCGCAAACTGTAAAATATAAAAAGAAAAAGAAACATATAATAATAAGCGTGATGATGAGAGTAATATAACTAACAGGGGATCAATAAGCCGTAGAGAGAGAGAGAGAGACAAATAATATTTGCATAATGTTTCGCTCAACTGTTTCAGAAGTTCTAGTCCTTTCTTCTTCGACTCTCAAATGGTAGCAACAGCAGTAAAAGCAGTAAGAATAATAAGAATGGTTAAATGGGTTTCAACACAAAAATATTTTACATTACTCTTCGAATACTACAATGACTATTTTTCCATAACTAACAATGGAATCTTCCCAGATGATACCCTCCGCTTTCAATGATATTACGCCCATTGACAGAGGAGAATGTCATAGAAAATGGTCTAAAAGGCTTTATTTCCATGAAACTTCTTTCAAAAGTTATGAATTTGTTTGTGTTTTGGCCCTGAGAAGAAATCCCTATAACACTAAGAATTTCATATCTCATTAAAAACAGGAAATTAAGAGCTGAATTTTTTATCTAACTGTACTAGTAATCTTTTGGTATTACAGAAAATTTTGGTTTTTCAGCTTGTTTACTTATTGAATTATTGGATTTTTACTGGTTTAACAACATGCTATTCTCCAAAACTACTTCTTTTTCGTTCTGATACAACGTCTTGTGAACAGAATTTGACTCCATGTGTATCAATACGTATTTTCCAAACTACAGTTGATCTGCATGAGACGAGAACTCGTGGCCTAATTATAGTGTGACATATGACACACTTTAATTAGACTACGAGTTCTCAAAAACACAAAATTCATAACTTTTGAAAGAAGTTTCATGGAGATAAACTCTTTTAGGCCATTTACTATGACATTCTTCTCTATCAATGAGTATAGTATCACTGAAAACGGAGGATATCATCTGGGAAGGTTCGCTCGTAAATGTTAAACTCTCAGTCTTCTCTGAATATAAGCACCATCTAGTTGTGTGAGCACTAATCTGAACATTAAGGAAAAATGAATGAATGAACTGAGAAATGAAGATGATTTGCTCTGTTACTTTATCTAAAACATTTAAGTATTATAAAGAGTTTTTCAAACCATTTTTATTATTCTTACTACTACGAATGTATCTATTGTATTTTATTCTTTTTCTCTCTTTTACTGGGGATTTTACTCTATTCAGTAAACTCATAAAAGTGAATAAAGTCAAACAAAAAAGAAATAATAATAATAAAAAGTAACAAGATACCTGATTTAGGATCCGATAAAATTTTCGACGAAATAATAATGCCGAACTCCATAAATATACTCTCAAATTCTTCCTGACTCATTCCCTTGGAAATGCCCGAGACATAAAGATTTGCACCTTTGATCGAATCTGATGAAGGCCGAGCAAAAGAAACCTAAACGTGTAAAGAAAAACAAAAAACAAAGAAAAAGCAAACGAAAACAATAAACAAATAACACAAACGAAAAAAAAGGAATAATATAAGATATTATGAAATAAAAACTCATAATAATGTTCTGACTCCAATTTGATTTCTTGCGATAATATTCAAAAATGACAAAATCAGTTGTAATAGATCGACAATCCTCAATGAAATCTCAAAAAACACATTTCTCAAAAATTCGAAAGTTTCGTTTACTTGAGAGTACCAAAAGTGTCTAATTTTGATTCTAGCAACGACAATTTTGCCTGTAGTTCTTGACATCGACCATTTTGTTATGTTGTCCTACATGCTACATAAGAATAACGCTTTTTCGAAAAAAATTATCGAAGTTTTCCTCCCCTTGAATGATCCTTTTAACATGCGCGTTAACTTCTGAAAACCAAAATTTTCGTTAATCCAGTTTTCAGTAGATTTTAGAATTGTTTGTAAAAACGATCATTGTCATCAGATTCAACATGGTTGAATCAGGAAGAGGACGTGTTGAGTTATCGGTTCAGGTAAACACGCTATATTCTCACTTAGTTTCTAAAGAACTTGACCGCTTTTTCAAACATTCTCTCAAAATTCTATTTTAGAAAAGGATTTTGAAGTTTTTTTTGTTTAAGAAAAGACATGCCTTGAATTTAGCAAAATGAACAGATCTCTATCTCTTTTCTGTCCAACATTATTGAAAAAACAGTTATAATCACTGTTTTGAAACAAATTTATCAATCAAAGTAGCACTAGTTTAAGGAGAAAATAATAGAAGTTTTCAATTCATTTGATAAATTATATTATTTTTCTTTTTATTCTTCGTACTAAAAATAATTTATAAAATAAGTAAAGAAAAGTCTATTATAAGTAGTTTTGTCATTTTTGAATGTTATAATGATTAGATATTGAACATATAGGATACAATACACAAACAAACACACACTTCTTTTTCAATCTTATTCGAAAGAGGTCAAATTCGACCCAATCTCATTTTCAGTACCACTACAGTCAAGGAATAAAAGATGATAATTTGAATTTTAAATACTTCTCATTGTTTTCTCCTACTCATTATTTTTGCTTAATTTTATCTTTTAAGTAATAATAAACGTGTAATAAAGTAATTAGTGCGTCACAAACACAAAAAAACAACAGCAATACAGTGATGAAACTCGAAAGTATAATGTAAGAGAATTAACAAAATTATGAATTATATTTCATTTTTCGACTGATATTTAAATAAAAATAGGTATGAACAGCAAAATGAGAGCTATTGTCTCCTGCACATTTATTGTTAGCATGAGCGTTTATTCGACTATTTTCAAAATCTGACTACCTGTATTTGAATCGGTTAAAATTCGACTGGCAATAATTTTGCCGCAAGGAGAAAAATATGTTTCTAACTCATGCGTTCGCCAATGTTTAGGTAATCCACAAATATACAAATTTGCTCCTTTGATTAATTCGGAACTCGGTCTCGCATACGATACCTGAAAATTGTATGGTTTCAGGCAATACTAACTCATCAAAGAGAGAATGGAGAGTTTTCAATTTCAGAAAAGAAAAAAAAACTTATACATCTAATAGTAACGAATTAAAAAAACATGACCTCTATAGGCAAAGATTGAAACAGATGGTTGTATTTAAGCAGGAACCACAGAATGGTTTAATAATGATAATATCGTGTGTTATTTTTAGAGAAATAAAGACATTTTTTATTAAAACTTACTTTAATTTTTTTGTTTTGAAGACGTAAACCATTCATTTGTTTAACAGCTTTTTCTGCATCATCTGTACGAATAAAATTAACAAATCCATAGCCTAAACTTTGACCTACAAACAAAAAAAGAAAATGAGATAAAATTTGTGATAATATAATTTAATTTATCTTTTTTCATGATTTTTTTTGTTTTTGCACACCAGTTATTTTATCTCGTACTAGTTTACAACTTTCTATAGCTCCAATTGAACCAAATAAATCTTTAATTTCATCTTGTGTCATTGTTTGGGGTAAATAATTAATAATTAAATTTGTTTGTGCTTTACTATCAGACATATCATCATCAGTTAAACTTTCTGAACCATGATGTTGTCGATGATAATTAGTCATAGCTGCTGTTTCTTCACTAAATTGTAAATATTCTTCGTCTATATCGACTTCGTCTAATAATTCTAACTGTTGTTGTTGTTGTTGAGGAGGATGCTGAGCGTGAATGATTGTAGGAGCAGTTGATTGATTGTGATGCACTAACTGCTGTTGATGATGAATGGCGTGATGATGATTTTGATCGTGTTGCTGTGACGATGCTGGAGGTGACGAAGAGGATGAGGAACAATTGGGGGCCAATACCTGCAACGATAAAAAACAGCTATCTAGTAATAATAAAATAATTGGCATACAAACTAAAGAATTTTAATTAGTATTACTGTTGAAAAATAAATAGTAAATCATATATAGTGCTTCACTCAATTGTTCGTGCGATTGATTAGATTAGATACATGCATGTCTACATACATGATATTCTTGTTACAGGAATAAATTAATGACATTTCAAATGTTATCAGTATTAATATGAAGTCAGCATGAAGTAAGTAAGTATCACGACGTTTTTTCTGCAAATTCGTATAATATAGTTTGTGTCGATATTATAAAACAGTTTGTCTTTAGCATAGTTTCTGTTGAAATATTTTCGTCTTTTGTATGAAGTTTTACGCGATTTTTTATGCTATACGAGATGTTCATAGTCTCTAAAAAACCATAGACGCTAATTTTTTCAGTCGTTTTAATCTATACATTATAGTTGTAGAGGTTATATAATACAACCGATGATACTCAAAGTTATCAGTAGTAGAGGACTCGAGAATACCTTCCCTCCATCTTACTCCAGTACATTTATACAAAAACGTTTGTAACAATATCAATTTCTCTAATTACATCTTTATTCAAATTGTTTTTGTCCCATCTTTTATAAAAATGTTCTCCATCATCACTATGCAAAGATACTAAAAACATACAGACCAATTATTCATGATTATGATGTTAAAAGCTCATCAAATTAATCAAGTTGTTCAACTAATAATAGACAAGAAGTACTATTAACCAATGTAAATGTATACCTACATAGAGATAACATTATTTCTAAGATAGTACGTAATGTAGAACACTACATTTTTGTTACAATGATAATATCAAAAACTCAAAGACTTATTTATTTCTTTTAACTGAAAATAATTTGAAAAGTTTTATTTTATGATCAACTTTACCTTATAAACATACCACGGTCCAATCATGACTAATTTTTTTAGATTGTCTTCTAAAAGTTTATTCAATATAAGCTTATTATTAGCTTGGTAATATCAATGAATTTCTTTCTTCCCATATATTTTCTTTTTTTTTTGAGTAAAAAGAAATACCATATTATGTCTTTTTTGTTCTTTTTTTCGACAAGAATCGTAGCAGATTTGGTTATAACTTTACAGGCTGATGCCATAAAATCTGTTCCGCCATTGTACATTCAATAGAAAAAAATTATAAAAATTTCGTTAAAAATGAAATAGGGAACAACTTCAAAATCTTAGAGAATAAAAAACAACAAAAAACGATCAATAATATAATTATCGATAATTAATATATCCTTCGTCCATGAAAAGTTCAATAAACAATCTGATACATGTGCACAGATTTTCGTTTGAACTACAAGGATAATATAATATGATCAACCAACAGTATATATTTCGTTTCGAAATAATAAAACTAATATGTATCAGCTTGAAATGTGAAGAGAGAAAAAGAAAGAAGAGAGAGAGAGAGAGAAAGAGAAAAAAAATGAAAATATTCGCCAATTAAAATATGAACCGAAAAGAATACGATAGTTTATGATATTTTAAGAAAATTGAAAAATTAATCACCATTATAAATATTCTCTTCTTTTTCATGGATTTTTTAGCTTTTATACTTGTTATTTTGTAGTATTTATTCTCTCTAACTCCAAACATATTTATGGATAAAGGTATTCATACACCACGGGATACAATAGATTTCTTTTCAGATCCAAATGTCACTACTACTTTCATATTATATGAGTGAAAGCAGAATACTGCTGTACGTTTTTCTTCTTTTTTTTTTGTTTTTTTTTTTCTTTATTTTTTATTAATGATAGCTTCATGTCTTGAAAATAATAATAATGATGGTGATCATGGATAAATGACAACTTTAGATATTTTTCTTTTTTCTCTATTGTTCCTATATAACATACGTACAAAAAAAAAAAGGTAACTGGTTATTTTCAAAAAAATCGATTTGATTTTTCCTCTATGATAATTACACTTTCAAGTCGTACATGCTAAACAATTTTTATAGAGATAATAGGATATAAACGTAATTTTCTACTGCAAAAAAAAAAGAGAAAAAAGTCTTCTGAATGAATAATAACGTTCATCTTTCACTGTCAAATGTTAGATATTACTTAGATTCTGCTTATTTGATAGAAAAAGAGTATAATCATATTATATGTTAGAAACAATTATTAAGCCTTTATATCACTTTGATATAAAAATTCAGTTCACAAACATTGGTTGAATGATTTCAAATAAGAATCTGATATTTTATCTCACAGAGGACTGACTGATTCAAATCTATGCATAAAATTTTTCAGAGTTGTAAATGTATCCCAACAATTTTGTAAGATCATCATTTTTCTACTCTTACTATTATCGTATAAATTTAGAAATTTGTTTGCAAAATTTGAGCTTATATTGATTGAACACTATCAGGAATGTTTTTCATTCATTAGCATAAACATTAGATTTGACGACAACAGCGAGAGAAAAAAAAGCGGAAAATATAATTTGACTACATTTGGAGAATCTAATATAGATATTTATAAGAGAGAAAAAAAAAAATGAAATCATTTGCTCGACTAGATATACATCACTGCTCAATTCATCTTCCAAAAATTTTCATTTTTTCTTTGTATTTAGTAGACATCGAACAAAAAAGAAAAGAAAACTTTGTGTATATGTATATGTATGTGTGTGTATATATATATGTGTGTGTGTGTGTGTGTCTTAATCAGGAAATATTTAGGGGTTATTTTATATTATTCTCTCATTTGACATTTACATGACAATCAACAAAATACAGAAAAAAATACATAGAATGAAGAGTAGCTGCAGTCATCATCACAGTACTTATGGTGGAAACGGAAATGAAGAATGTTTTAGATCTAAAGAAAAAAAAAAAAAAAAACTGACAAAATTTATAGAAATAATGAAAATAGTTAATTTATTGAAAGAATCACAGTTTACTTTAAGAACTTAATTGATTTGAAGTGAAAATACACCAGTAAACATTTAAAAAATTGACTTGTCATATAGATTTAGGAAGAATTTGTTCATTGAACAATATTCAATTTTAATTTTTCTCACTAGAGTCATCATAGTTTTTTAACTTCATAAAATTTTCTAAAAGATCTATGAATATTTTAATCAAAGTGTCTAATATACTATCTACTACTTTATTTATAAAAGATAAATATACTACTCCATTTTCTTATTAAATTAATCATATAAAAAAAATTTTTTTTGTTTTTTTTGCTTTCAATGAAGTTTAGCCTTTAGTAATTTTTCTTGAGATTGTCATGTTTTCTTTTTTTAGTCTATGATTTTTGACACATATTTTGTATTCATTAACTAAATATGTCGTTGTATCTCATCATATGTATTACTATTTGAACATTGAACTGAACAAATAGACTTTGTGTCTGGTGTCTGATTTCGTTTTTTCTTTTTTGTTTGATACATAGAGAAATAAAAAAAAAAAAAAAAAATCTATTATTTTCACTATTCTAATTATTATTATTATTAGTATTTTTATTATTATTACTCAATGTATAGGATTCTTGGCTCATTGACTTTCAACGATTACAGCTGTGTTGCTTAAAGATATGTATTCTACATATGTATAAAATATATACTAGAAACCATATTTTAGGCCGTATGAGATGATGTATATGTTCACAGTTTCATCGTGCTGTTTTTTATTATATAAATGTATTACCCATCTTATACATCACAATCTCTTTTTCTTTTTGCGACAATTTCTATACCCAAAAGCAGAATTTTCTCTCTTTTTTAGGTCATTGATAATCGTGGTATGATCATTATTACTATATCTGTACAATATCTCACGTTAATAATATCTCGCTTTCTCTCTCTATCTCTTTCTTTTTTTATCACACAGATTCATAGATAATCGTATAATGAGTTGTGTGACCATATGAGTTATATATGTTCTAAGAATCAAATACACCGATTATTTTTGACACATACAAATTATATTCCCAATTTGTCAATTCAAAGTTAATTACTCTGTCAAATGAATAAGTATACCATAATCAAATAGAGAAGACATAAAAAAAAAAAAATAATAAAGAATAGAAAATGTTCTATTTCTTGTTTTTACCATTTATAATAAAGAAAGTTTTCACCTCTTAATCTGCATGAACTACACTAACATATCTTCTTTCTGATTTTAATATATTCAAAGGTCGAATATACATTAAACGTTGTATTAATCAATGGATTATTAAATTAATCAGTTTCAAATATTTCTAATCAGATATATGAAAAAAATAGAGAGACTTGTGTAGACTAAACTTAGACTTCTTAATAGGATAAATAAAGTCAGTGATATACTTAGGTGATAAAATGAGAGTCGAGCATAAACAACAAGACATATACTAAACGAAATAGTTAATATTTACTAGTATTAATCTAATCAAATCAAGATGTATTCTTCAATTTTTCAAAATTTATTTTAAAATATTATTACTATCTTATGATTTACCATTATAAATTCAATAAAAAAGCATATTGAAAAAAAAACATATAATTTAAAAATCTTGCGTACCTTAAGCATTCTCATTATGATATTAATAAATAATAATATACTTTAATCGAACATTTGTTAACTATGTGTCGTTTTTCTAACAAACACACTCAAAACTTTTTATATAAATAAAAAAAAAACCATCGATATTTTCTCTCGATTTTTTTTTTTTTTTGTGTATAGTAGCCTAAACGGTAGATGTATGTAGATAATTCGATGAGAAAAAAAAATAGAGAGAGAGACGAAAAACGGGAAAAAGAATAGAAAAAAAATAATTTTTCACTGTTCTTTCTCTATGTGACAATAAACAAGATATTTAATATTGATTGAATACTAGTAAAACTTATGTTGCTGCTGTCGTCATTGTATTGAGTGATAGATGTGCGTGTGTATAATAAGAATAGTAATAATTTGTTTAATAACAACAAGTACTGCTACTACTATGTATTGTCAGCACAGAAACATAGAGAGAGAGAGAGCTAATCTAAAAAAAACGTTTAGTATGTTTACATGTATTAAGATCAAGTATAAATGTGAATTATAATCAAAACGATATCAGAAAAAAAAACTGGTTTTCTTTCATTTCTTCGTATTCACACTGTACAGAAGTGAGTTTTTCTTTTCTCTTTCTCTCTCTCTCTCTCTACGTATATATACATATGCACTCCCTTCTTCCAGGTCCGTTTTTTTTAAGTTTATCAATGAATAAAAAAACAGAGAGAGAGAGAGAGGAAGAAAGTCGTTTGTTTATGGTACATTAACATAGTCTATAAGCAAAACAAGATGTTTAACGACAAATAAGTCGAAGACATATGAAAAGAGAGAGAAATCAAAAGACAGTTTGCTTTCCAATATAAAACTGTTTCATTACGGTAAAGCTGATTTTAAGTTGATCGTATACTAAATTATGTTTATATTTCATTTAATTGCCTATACTAAAATTTTAAAAAACAAATCTTATGAAAATGATGTATCCAATAAATAACAATATGAATAAAAGAAAATACACTTTTATACAGCGAATCAAATACTTAAATAATACTCGACCTCAAAAAATATGATACATAAACGAAGAATTTTGCTGAAAAAAAAATATCATTATCTTTTTTTTGTAATTATTGCAATAAGTACTTCGCTTGTCTTTCTGTTCACTCTTTTTCTTTACTTTCCTTTTCTTTTTGTGGGATCATTTATTCAAAAAACTACTCTTTGATTATTCTAAAACATCTAAACTACATGTTTGCCTATCCACTCACTCAAACATCATCGTTATAGTTTTCTTGTATTTCTCTCACTCCTTTTAATGCCTATTTTGACATTAATTACAATTAAGAACGAACAAAACCTCTAGTGTAAGACAAAAAAAAAAATGCTAATTTTTGAAAATTTCTAATAGTAACTA